ACCAATTACCTAACCTCCCCGCACATCTTTCTTCGGTTGTAAGGTGGGGATGATAATGGTATGGTACAGGATAAGTCCCTAGTAAACAGAAGGTGTTATTCTTATTACTGTTTTAGGTTTAGCTGCTAATGGTGTGAAGGGCCTGAAATTCAGGGACTGGAAGTCATCTTTGACACTGATTATGACAACGTCCTATCCGGATGGCCTATGGGTCAAACTGCTGTTGAAGGCTCCTGGAATAATGTGTATTAGCACATTTCCTTGATTGAGAGGACTCATTCTATTAAAGTCACCATTTTTACATGGCTGTTTGCAAATGCTACTTTAAACCTAATAATGAAAAAAATTTTTTTTCCAATTTGGCCAACAATTGATTTCCTGCACTTGAAAGTGAAGAGTGGAGGCTGTGAACAGGCTACCTGTGCACCTGAATAGCTGATGCCATGTTTCGGTGACCCATCCAAAGTGTAGGTTGGGGGAGGTTGGGATTTCTGTTGTTTTTGTTTTGCATTCTATTTGAATTCATTACCATCTGTGTAGGAAAACCAGTTCATCTCCTGTGTGGGAAGAAAGACAATTCCCTACTGTGTCTCTCCTGTGCACCTCTTTACTACTCATGTAAAACATTTCATTCCTGGTCACCAAACATATTGAGGTTTCTCCACACCAAGCAATTCTCTGCAACACCAGCTGGGTGTCCTGCAATTTAATTAAATTCTGACACTATCTACCTGGAGATAGCATCAGATCACTGAGGTTAAGGGCTCAGTCCTACAAGCTTCTCTCTCTCTCTCTCTTTCTCTCTCTCTCTCTCTCTCTCTCTCTCTCTCTCACACACACACACACACACACACACACACACACACATTCAGAAGCCAGTCACAAGCCCAGGTATCACCTGTGCTTCTGACCAACCAGCTGTAGATTGGAGGTTCCCATGACCCCCTCCTCAGGTTCAATTAACTTGCAAGAGCAGCCCACAGAACTCAGAGAAACACTTACTTACATTTACCAGTTTATTAAAGGACATGATAAAGGATTCAAATGAACAGCAAGATGAAGACATATATAGGGCAAGGTCTGGAAGGGCCCCCAGCTCAGGAGCTTCTGTGGAATTGGGGGGTCACCCTCTGGTATATGGACATGTTCACCAACCTGGAAGCTCTCCAAACCCCCTACTATTGGGATTTTTCTGGAGCTTCCTCATGCAGGCGTGTTCAATTGTTAACTCCATCTCCAGTCCGTCTTCCTCTCTAAAGAATGGGGAGGTGGGCTGAAAATTCCAAGCTTCTAGTCATGGCTTGGTTTTTCTGGTGACAAGGCCCCATCCAAGAGCCCACCCAGTCACCTCATTAGAACAAAAGATACTCCTACTGCTCCTATCACTTAGGAATTAAGAGGGTTTCAGGAGCTCTGTGCCAGGGAGGGTGTCAAAGACAAATATTAGACCAAAGATATTCCTAGTGTTCTTATCACTTAGGAAATTACAAGGGTTTCAGGAGCTCTGTGCCAGGAACCAGTTGCCGAGGCCAATATATATTTTCTATTATCTCACAGCATTCTTTGGCCATGCTGAGCCACTGAGTAGGAGCTATCCCATTTGGATGGGGCTTGAGCTCTCCATAGTCCTTGTGGTGTGCTGCACTCTTCTAAATTACCTACCAGGTCCCTGATATTGTTATCAGTGGGGAGATCTCCATATCTCCATCTGTTGCCAGTGGGAGTGGGCTGCTTGTGATATCCTGAGAAAAGGAATTTTCTGAGACTTGCACATGAGGATGAGATATTGTAGAAAGCTTTATTTTTGCAGAATTAAACCCTTGAGTTTCCAAGGTCCCGCCAAGGAAGAAGTGTAGCTTCAGCAGAGCTAGAGTCAGAGCCAGTGTCCAGAGTTTTAGCTCCAAAATGAAGCAGTGTCCAGTCCAGCATTAAGCTAGATTAGTTTGTGTTCCCAGTTGTAGTCCATCAGTCCATTGCATGTGGGGTCTACAGGGCCACACGTCTGTGAAGGAAACACAGGTGAATGCAAGGAAGCAGGAACAGGAGAACCCCACCAGCCAAGAGAAAGAGAGCTCCTTTGTCTCGGGGATTATGTATTCCCAAATTTTCTCAGGCTTGCATTGGCCTCGCCTTTTCTAGCCAATGATTTCTGTTTCCAGGTTAGACAGATGGCAGGCACCTTCCCTACGTCATCCCAACTTCACTGCGCATGTGTCCATCCTTCCCTCTGTCCAGTCCCTTCCCCCAGTGGGCTGGTGGTTCCCTGGGGAGTGTGAAATTTCAGCTTCCTGATGAAGGTCCCCAAATAGCCATGTTTATAATGTCTGGCCTCTCTTTTGCTCCTTTCCTATTACAAATAACTAGTTAATTACAATGATATCAACACCATCCTCAGAAGGTATAAGTAGAAACCTCAACACATACGATATTTGTGACCCCCCCCCTTTGTAGAAAGGGTAAATATGCTTCATTCTCTTTCATAGGAGTTAGCCCTAATGAGGAGAACACCACACAGCGTTCCCAAATGCAATAGGTCAACCCCACTGAGGACTTCTCCTTTTAGATTCTTCACTGAACTCCCTGAGCTTCATCAGGCTTCGGTGCAAAAACACCAAGGAACTCCAATGCATTATTCTGACACAACCTCATCAGTTCGTTTGCCATTAAAATGATAGCACTAAATTGATAGTGATGAGTGGTATTTCATTTCCAATGAGCACTTCCCCAACCCTCCCCTCCCCCATGAAATCGGGCTTCCACAGTCTCAGTGAGTGGTTTTCAGTGGGACCACAAATACCAATCTCTCCCAGCCTCCCTCTGTTTCCTTCTTTTGATAATGTCATTTCTTTGGCTTATAGGAAGATAAACAGGAGTCCCCATGTCAATTGCCAGGGAACAGTAAACAACAACAACAACAAACCCAAGAAGCCAAACACCAACATCCACTTGGTTTCCTTTTTATTGCAGGACATTGTAATTTCCCAAGGCTGGTTCAGATAAATACGTTTGGACCAAGCTCAGGGGCTGCTGTTTTCCCTTGCTTCATGAAATTATCTATGGGCAGGCCTTTGATCTTCCTGATCCAGGCAGCTTTGCTGGCCTTTTCTGGGTTGATCACTCCAGCGGGCTTTCGGGCCTGGTACTCTTTCATCTTGGCCTCCTCGTACTCCTTCTCCTCCCGCACAGTCAGCAGCATGAATTCAGTGTTCACTCTAAAGGAATCGAGGGCCGTGCAGCAGCGAGGCCACTCTTTCTTGAAAGACGGGGTTGCCATGCCTGCCGGGGGAGCCAGCATGCGGTTTGGCTTAATGACCTGCATGCTGGTTAAGGGGCTGAAGCTTCGCACTGTCCTGTCAAGTGAACCAGCTGCTCCATCTTCACCCTTCAAGGTGCCGGAGACCCTGGGGCGAATGAGCATGGGCTGGGGTATGGTGGACTGGACTCGGGGACTGTGCAAAGAGTTCTTCAAGTTGGGCTGCAGTTTCTGGACTTCAAGGAAAATATTGGTTTGTTTCACATCCATGGGTGGGTTGCTGACTCTCAACCTATCAACTGCATGTTGTAATGATTTTCCTTTGAAACTAAGGACCTTCCTTGGGTGTGAAATTAAAGGTCCCCAGGTGTCAGTGACTTGGGTCTGGGGCCTACGGGGATAGGCAAAGTCGCCTGAGTTATGGGCTTGCTGCAGGGCATTAACGGTCAGGAGGAACCGGTCTGGGGACATAGAGATTTGCCAGGAGTTTTTCTTTGAATGACTGGTCAGGTCTCTAGGAGTTTGCAGCTGTCCTTTTTTTGGTACTTTCTCTGTATCATCTGTTTTTGTGGGGGGTTTTTTAAAAAAAAAAAAGGAAACCAATCAGTGTCACATGAAAACTATTAAGTACTTATACATGAAAATTAAATCCATTCTAACTGCTATGCAAACTGACATCTTTCTTGCCCAATAGACATGCCATCATGTGGGCAAAAATCCTCTATGGTACCAGACATTATGACATATTCAATACAAGCCTTTAACAGATATGCTAGTATTTGTGTGTGTGTATCAACCTCTAAATATGCATATTTTGGAGGCAGCATGTAATCCCAAAGCTCCACACCTGTTTTGAAACATCACACCTCATTTATAATTCACACAGAATAGGCCTTATAAATTCATAGTAACATCCCTCTGTTTTTAAAGAAAAATTGAATGATGAAATTTGATTTCCATCTTATTAATCAAATTTGACTCCAAATGATCTTTGGACATGTTTTAAAATCAAAACTGCCTTCAAAAAATATGTCACCCCTGGGAAATGCTAAATATCACAGCATGACCAAAAGGCAGTTCCGGAACAGGAGTTCCCAAAATGTTTTACGCAATAGCAGCAGGGCCAAAAGCTGCTGACAAGGACCAGAGATTCATTCTGTCACACTACATTATGGTCAAGACCACCAAGATGTCTAAGACCTTGAGTGAACAAGGATGTCTTCACAAGTGAGCAAATCTATTATATCAGTGCTATTATATTTCATTTTGGCCTTTCAATCCCTACAACACCTCCCAGATACAGTGAAAGTATTATTCCCATTTTACAAAAGAAATAACTGAGTCCTGAAAAATAGAAGTCCTTTGTCTAGTCTGACCCAGTAAGTAAAAGCCTGTACCCCAAACTATACCAATCTAAAGCTAGCAAATAAAATGCAACCATGTGTTAAGCATATAATTTTCCTTGACCAAATCGCTTTATCCCAAGATGCTTGTGTATGGACATACTAGGATGGAATGAAACTTTAAATTTCTCCCTTTTCCTTTGTGAATTAAATAACATTTTATTAAAACATATAAAAGTAAATAAAATTAAGATGTCAAAATCTTCCCCACTCTCCTTTCAATTCCAGAATAAACCATCCCGCATACTCACGTGCATGTGCGACAAAACACATGGTTTTTTCTCCCTTCGTAAAAAGGAACTGTGCTGAGTCTTTGTTCATTAACTTGTCTTTTTTTATATGTGATAATATATTGTGTATCTCTCTCCAAGTCAGTATGTGTAGATCCTCATGATACAGTTTTAGCTGTTGTGTAATATTGCGTAGTGTGGATTTTTCATTATTAGTCATTGCCCACTGATGAACATTTAGTTTCTTAGTGGTCATCCTTAAAGACATGCAGATACCTTTTTCTCTTATCATACAAGTAAGCCCAAAATGATGGATGACACCCAGTGTGGGCATGGGTGCAGTGGGACCCCTCATGCATCCTTGGTGGGATGGTAAATTGATATGCCATTTTTTAAGGACAATCATGACAATATATTTCTAGTTTTTAAATGCAGTTATCCTTTGGCTCAGCAATGCCACTCCGAGGACTTTTCACTACAGGCATATCTACATAGGTACACAGACATGCCCACCGTTAGAGCCTTCCTAAAACTTTGTTTTCCCCTCACCTTGAAACTAGTCTCCGCAGGGAGTTTGGTTCAAAGAATCACTATTATATTACCAAAACTATTTGAAAGGCATTTTAAATCTTTATCAAAGATTCTCAAAAACAACAAAGGGACATACTATTTGTGATGCCCAGTCACTCTTCTTAAAAGCCCCTTCCCCATCTCTCTCCCTTATTTCCTTATTTCACATACCTGGCACCCATCCCTAAATCTATCTCCTTCCTCATGAAGTCCCCTAAAACGCCCTCTGCAATCAGCCACAACTGCCCCATTACTCAGACTGATGACACAATAGTCCAAGAAGTGAGGAGGCTGAATGGCAGGGAAGGGGTCAGGCTATGAGCCCCAAGCTGGAAACCTAGCTCTTACAAAGGTTCTCGCTCTGTGGCCTCAGTTAGTAAGGACACAATTAAGTAAAACCAATCACTTTTAGGAAAAGCTGGGCATTTTATCCATTCTGAATTCTTTTTTTTTTCTTTTTTTTTCTTTTTTTTAAATATATCTTTATTGATTTCAGAGGAAGGGAAGGAGAGGGAGAGAGAGAGAGAGAAACACCAATGATGAGAGAGTCATTGATTGAGCCCGCAACCCAGGCATGTGCCCTGACCGGGAATCGAACCCCGATCGCCTGGATCCTAGGTCGACGCTCAACCGCTGAGCCACGCCCGGCCAGGTCATTCTGAATTCTTAAAGATAAAGCAAAGTTATTGATCTGCTGAGAAACTAGACTAACAAAGTGAGCAATGGAGGGAGGGAGAGAGAGAGGAAGAGAGAGAGAATTGGATCATGCCGCTGATTCAGACTAAAGTCTCACCTTTCATCTTATCTCCTGCAAGGGATTTTGCTTCCAAACTCTCCTGCCCACCAACCAAGCCACTTGCTTCCTTAGAAACAGGACTCGCTTTCTTCTTGCCATCTCCATCTCTTCGGGGTGATTTTGGCTTTCCTTGACTTTGAGGCCCCTCCAGTGACACTGATAAATTAAGATTGAAGAGAAAACCATAGTAATTACATAATTCAATTAAGTCTGAATAATGGGGCATAGCTGATCATTGGACTGGTTTTCACCCAAACCATCACCTTGTTGTTTGTCATGTGAAACTATGTAGTCACCTGACCTTAGCATTAGAGTACCCCCTGTCTCCCTCCCGCCCCTTTTCCTATTAAGCTCTGAGCATTATAAAACTCTCCTTGCTTTCTCCTATCTGACCATTTACAGAGCATTATAAAACTCTCCTTGCTTTCTCCTGTCTGACCATTTACAGTATAATATGCTGGGAGGTGATCTGTTTGATCGGTGGGTCCCATTTCACATGCCAAATACAGGGCAGGTAAAAGAAAGGAGTCTGCCTACGCTAGCCCCCACACAATTTATTCTTTTATGTCTTATAAACGGCATGAGCCATGCTGCTCTGCCCCATACCTACACACACACACACAGGCACCTGCTTCATAACTAATGTTTTCCAGGTATGCGTGTTATCAATCAGGGGTCTAGAGATAAAACATTTTGCAGAACATTTTTCTGCAGTATAATAATATTTTGTCTTAACACAATAATTATGTACTATATGTTTGACTTGGGGTGTAGAGGGAGGAGGTTGGTTGCTTGGTTTTCGTTTTAATGGCCAGTATTAAGGGCTAGCGTTCGCTACTCTTCAAAGATAATAATAAGTCTGGGAACTTAGGCCTTGGAAATCAGGCGGTTCTCTTGAGCTGGCTAACAAATTGGCAAATCAAAGAAAATCCCCGCCTTCCAGAAAGGTAGGGATTTATATTATCAAGAAACCACTGGCCAAAATATCCCACGACGAAGCTGGTCCCGGCAGCCCATCCCCTGCTTCACCGGGTACGCCGAGATGGGCTGGGAGTGAGGCCCTTACCTGCCGAAACCTTGGCCGCCTTCAGGAGCATGCGGGACCTTTGAGGTTTACTCAGCAGGGACTCCGGGGCCGCCGCTGGCTTCCCAGAGACGGAGCCCTTGGAGAGGACTTCGAGGGGGCTGTCCTCCCGGTCCTCCTCTTTATCTTTGTTCTTCTTCGGCTTGGCCCGCTCCAGGGAGTACTGCCACTTTACGTTCTCAAACTGGAACAGGAGGACGTTGCTCTCCGTGTTGACCAACATCCTGGAAACAAAACAAGATTGCCCACAAAAGGGGCCTGGAGGCCGCCACTGCCCAGCCGCAGATCTGCATGCCCACTGCCGTCCTGTCCCATCCTCGGGCCAAGGGAAGAGTCCCCAGGAAATGACTGTGCCGGTAGGGTGGGTAGGTCATTGAAGGGTCTAGGGTAGCAGGCCCTGCGGCAGGGCTCTGTTTTTGTTGTTAATTAAGTGAGAGCAGGGCACACATGTTCTCATTACTTTGCTTTTGGAGTTAAAATATTTTTAAAAGAATTTCCGTTCTTGGAGTGAGTGTCAAGCACCTAGGATGCCCGAGGTAGAAGGCTTAGGTACTCTGCACACAGATGTCCTGAAATTCACTCTTGTTTTAAGCACAGCATCCAAATGCCATGTTTGTGTTGCTGTGATGGGATGTGGGAAACTCATTAATGGGAGGGGTTCCCTCCTCCATGGCCCTCCAGTCACTCCGCTTTACCCCATCACTCCAGGGTCTCCATGCACACTCTACATTTAGATGGAACATTTGTAATTTATACAGCAGGGTGGTTTCCGTCTTCCCTAATCCCCACTTTGATGACCTGGTAGGAAAGGAGTTCCAAACCTGGCCCCCCAAGAACTGCCTCCCGCCTGCCCATGGGTTTCTCTTGTTCACAGTGTTCACAGAGCAAGCTGCTCTCCTCACTCTGAGCCTAGACCTCCTGTAACCTTAAACAAGGAACAAAAAGACTGGGTATAGGTTCCTTTCTGCTCCAAGGCTGCAATTTTAAGACCTTAATGATTAGTGTAAACTCTCTAAATGGGTGACTTGTTTTGGTTGAAAAGACTGGAATAAAATTTGGGGAATCATTCCAATTAGAAATCTCTTGCAGATTTATTTTTACTCAACAGTCTCTCTTCGGATGTCAGGAATGAGAAAGTCAGAGGTGATTTTTTTTTTAAATATTATCACCTCATGACTGAAAAGTGTTTATTTATTGAGACTTATTACCAACCCTTCCTCTTTAAGATGAGAAATAGTATTAGTCAAGTCTCATTAAAGAGAAGGCAATATGATTCACGGAGATGAACTGATGTCTCAAGTGAGCCTGTGGTAGAACTTAAAAGTTAATTCTATTTGGGTATTTTCACATAACATCACCCTGAACGTGGCATATAGCAAACACCGTACTGTATACAATTAGTCTAGTCCCAGGTCTGGCTTCTGTAAACTCATCGGCTCAGCACTGTCCCACCGGACACTGGACCTCCAGCTGCTGCGGGCTCCGCATCAGAAGTGAAGCTTCAGGGAGCACTCGGAGCTCTGGGGCCCAGCCGAGGGCACGCCCAGGGGGCAAGCAGGGGCGGTGGTCCCTGCAGCTAAGCCAGACTGCACTCTGCACCTGACACCCAGAACAAACTAGGAGTGATGTGAACCCTGATTGCTAAGTTTGCTGCAAAGTCTCCTTAGTCTCCCCTGAAACTATGACTCTCCTCCAGCCAAAATTGGAGGAGAGCCCAGTTTACCTACTCTCTCCTACTGCCAGAAAATCCAGGGCTGGTGTCCGAGAGGAGACAGAATCATCCAAACAATTGTTCATAGCTCTGACCTCCACACCAACCACCCACCTGTTGCCCTGAACAAAGAAGGACAGCACGGGATCACCTCTGCCGTTGGCTTTCATCACCTTCAGGCAGTTCCCATTCAGGAAGTTGTAAATGCGGATCTTGCCATCTGCGCAGGCGCTGATGACCCGGAGGAAGAGAAGGGCCACGTGGAGCACATCCCTGGAAGGGAACAGAGCAAGAGGCAGCGCCTGCCCTCTGGGAAACTGCTTGGGTGCTTTTACAGCTCAGGGTATTTTGTGTATGGTCGGGAGGCAGTGGTTGTAACTTGCTGAGGGATGTCTGCCGTCATGTCATAATTCTTGATGTAAACCGTTAACCCTCACACATGGCTGTACTCTCGCCTCCTGTTCTGCGATTATTTTTCACAGTGCCACAAGGTGGCCAAATACAGAGGCTTATGGCACAAATTTTTGTGGGGTCTGTTTTATAGATGATCAGATTTTCTCTTATAATTTGATTCCTAGCTATTGACATCTACAAAGGTCCTGCTAAGAATTATTTAATTTTTTTTTTTCTTTTAATCCTCACTCGAGGATTAAATGGATATGTTTCCATTGGTCGAGAGAGAGAGAGAGAAACGTGATGTGAGAGAGAAACATCGATGGGTTGCCTCCCGTACACTCCTGACTGGGATCGGACCCACAACCTAGGTATGTGCCCTGACCAGGAATCAAACCTGCCACCTTTTGGTGCACAGGAAGACATTCCAAGCAACTAAGCCACCTGGCCGGAGTGAATTATTTAATGTTTTGATTTCTTTTCCAATAGTACTATTAGATAAAGAAAGAGCAAAGCAAAAATTATCATCTTTATAGGAAGAAAAAAAACTGGTATTTGAGCATTTCTTTTGAGTCTTAAATTGCTGGTTTTCATTCTTCCAATTAAACATCCTGAAGGAAAACTGTACCCAGGTATGAGATTTATCAGTTCCCTTTTGTGACGGCCAGTAAGAAAAGAGAAAGGAGCAGGAGAAGACTTAGACAGATGCCTCCAACAGAATCCACCCCACAGCAGCTGGTCCAAGTGGGATCCCAGATATGTGGAGTATCCAATTCTGAAAGATGTAACTAACCCAGTCCTGTCAATGATATTGAAAAGTTGAATTTAATGCCACCAATTTGTCTGATTTTATATGCAAAGCAAGTCCACCCATCCCTGCCATCTGTACCCATCTAAGTCCATCCATGGCCTAGCTCATAAAACCATCTCTTATCCCAATCTCCCCTCCCCCCCCCACCACACACACACACACACACATACAAACTTTAGGTGTATGATGGGCTCTTTTGGGTATACCCTATGTCTTATTCATCTTTGCATGCCCTAAATTAGGGCCTAGCCCATAGTAGACCCTCAATAAATATTTGTTGAAAAAGAGGGTGTCAACTCATGTTTTAGAGTGTGATCATTGCTACAGTGTGTTAAAAAATGACATCCATCTCATATCATTTGGCATGAGCCTCGGTCAGGTCCAAGGGCCAGATTAAGACTTTTCAAGGCCCCAACCACTAGCAAATTAGAATTAACAAAGAACTTGAAAGGAGCATGTTTAGCATATTCAAAGAATAGTAAAGACGCCAATGTGGCTTGAATCCCTCTTTATGTGATAATAGATAATAGATAGATGATGATGATGAAGATGATAGATAGATGATAGATAGAT